TCGAAATCACAAAAGGATCCTATTATAATGCTAGGGTGTCCCCCGGAGTGACGACAGAAGCCCCACATAAGTTTCGTGTGTGCCGCCAAGCGAGGAATGAACGATCTCAGAAGAAGCCATTTCAAACCAAGACTTTGAATGTTGTTCCGCCTATTGAGAAATCCCGAAAAGCTGCCGATTTGATGAGGTGTAGGAGAATTCAGGTTTATTTGTTCAGGGGACACGTTAGTAAGGGGCAAGAAATCAAGAACGAACTGTTTTTGCTGCCAAAAGGATTAGCGATCGAATCATGGTTGTGAGGATAGACACGAAAGAGGAGTACTGGGCAAAAATATTCATGTACGCACAGCAAGACAGCTACCCCAAATACGGAAAACATGAGTCTCATCTGAGCCTTTACGTGGCCATCAGACCTGGAATTTGCAGCAGCTTCTTCACAGGGAATGAGACACAAAAAATAATCCACAAAGATGGATGGGGGAAAGAGGAGAGGAGACAATCGGAAATCGATCAGCAGCTCATAGGAAGAGAGCTTCTCAAAACGTTACAAGAATATAATGGTATTGCCTGACCAAGAATTGGCTCTGCTACATGGGCCTCTTCTAGCAGACATAGCCATCGAGCTCCTCAATAGAGCAAGGGAAAGAAAAACATAACATAGGAAGAAAACCGTGAGGAAAAGAAAGAGTTCAAATGAGCAACATTGAGAAAATCATACTACACTTTGCAAGAGAAACGACGACGGAGGCTTGAGGTGGACATAGAGGTGACAAGGCTGTTCTGGAACGCTGAGGATGAACGATGAAGCTAATTTGGTAACAGAAAAAGGACGCGTACAAACGCTAACAAGAGAAGCGATTGCCAGAAGACCTAGCTGCGTACAGAATCTGCAATAGGCTCGCCAAGGCTTACTTAGCAAAGGCGAAGATTACGGAACTGATAACCCAGTACGAGAAGCTCAGCGGGTAAGAAGATGAGAAGTTCGTCCTATTTGTAATGTGCAAATGGATATAATTCTTTAATAGGTTCCTGGACGAACAACTCGCCGCAAGAACAGATCACAGAATCTGCAAGAGGAAATCCCATATCTGAAACCCATACAGAAGTGAAAGCTGGTCCCATCGCATTATACATAAACTGGAGATAACGTTCGACGAGGAATGAGGAAAATGAAAGTCGAGGTAGGGTGCCGACTGAGGCATGGAAGGTGCTCAGAGATCAAGGGATTACGCGACTCACCCGATTCTCCAAACTGTAATGCTGAGGGAAGAATGCTAGATAATCGAAGAAGCAAGCTCATTGTTCTCATTTTTTAGCAGAAGGGGGACTCGTTGGAGTGTTAAAACAATTGCCGAGATTACGTTGGCTGTACATACCATGGAGGGTATACAGGATCTCAAGTCTGAG